CTGTTTGTCTCTTGCCTTTTTGATTAAGAAGGCAAGAGACAAACAGCAAGAAACAGGAAACAAAAAGCACATTGTAGAACAGCCATAAATCATATAACTAGTAATCTGTTTTTTTTTTAATGAAAGTAATATACCTATATTAAAATAATGTATATATAATGAAATTAGAAGAACACTTTTTGGATTGATTTTCCGTCTTGTCAAATTATTTTTCCTACGATATTTGTCCGGAGGACTCTAATTATGCATTCCACAGAGAGAATTTCGCTTTATTTAACTTGATCGTATTAACAGTGACTCAGTTTACTTACTGAGACGTGTCGTCAGTCCGTCGGTGATCTCCTGAGTCTCGAAACTCCTTTGTCGGGGCAGAGTTTTCTCTCTGACGACCTCCTTCGCCTCATCAACGTCGGGCATGTCGAGGTCGGAACTCGACACTTTTCTATATATCTCTGTCGTTGGCATTCTCTCTTTCGCTGTCTCTGCGGATGGCTTAATATTTTCAATGTTCTCCTCAATGTTCTCCTCTTTTCTACCAGCAAGATCCTCAATCAAGGCTCCAAGAGTTATTGATTTCGATTTGTATCTCTCCTTCTCTTGCTGTTGCGTGTCACTCGTGGAATTTCTTCTGTTGTCCTCCAAACTATCTCGACGGCTCACATAGCCACTGCTCTGTCTTCGGAGAACATCAGTAGTAGTCTGTGTCACAGTCTTTAGCGTACCCTCACCCTCTTCAAGGTACAATGCACTGTCTTTGCGTACTTCTTGGATATACTCCGGACTCGATAGTACTTTGGACGGGCCTGGCGCATCCGTCGATAATTGTTCAGTGTCAGAAGCACCTGTCGTCTTCGAAGTAGGTGAATTTGAGGGAGAACTATCGACCGCAGAACCTCTGAAAAAGAAGAAAATTGTTCTTTCATCTGAGATCTATTTTTACAATTATGTCATAGAAGCATTAGAAACAATAGTAACAACGTTTATATATTGCAACATTTTCCATCGCTATTTCTTGTCGACAGAATTTATTTGAACTGCACAATACCATGATTTTTAACGGAGTTATAAGTATTCAAAGTTAAAATGCATTCTTCAAATCTTTTACTTATTTTGCGATAACTCAGTAACAAAAATCTTAGGAACATTTTCAAAAAACAATTTGTAATGAAAATTTTAAGTTTTCACTTTAAAAAGTTAAAAATTTTCGTAAGTTTTTATAATAAAGAAATTGATCATGACATAACTTTTTCCTATATTAAAATTGGCGTGTCACGCTTTTTTGAAGTCTCTTTTCAAAGGGGTGTTGGAATGCTCCGATTTCGACGTGGCTTCGTATCCGGAAGTTTTTGGGGTTGCTCGTTCCGAAATCCTGATAAAAATTTCGAATTTCCAAATGGTTGAACCAATATGACGGACGGAAATGTTACCGAAATCCTAAATGTTTTCCGATTTCGGTGAAAATTGGTATCGTGAGGTTTTTGAAAGTGAGAACAGGGGTGGGGGAATTAGGAGAAAGTCTTTGGACGGTAAGAGGGGTAAGACAGGGGTGCCCACTGAGTCCGCTGTAATTAAATGTAATGACGGCGGACCTGGAAGAGGAGATGGGAAAGGTAAAATGGGGGGGGGAGGTGAATTTGGGAGGTAGGAAGATATATAAGTTGGCATATACGCGGATGACATAGTGTTACTAGCGGAGCAGGAGGGAAGCATGAGGAACATGATACAGAGATTAGAGGCTATGTGGATAGGAAGGGATTAAAATTGAATAAGGAAAAAACAAAAATAGTGAGATTTAGGAAGGGAGGGGGAAGGAGTAATAAGGTGGATTGGAGATGGAAAAGAAAGGGGATAGAGGAGGTAGGAAAATTTAAATATATAGGTTATACGTTGCAGAAGAATGGCGGGAAGGAAGGGTATGTAAAGGAAAGGGTGGGGAAGGCGGCGGCATTGTAGGAACAAGTGTGGAGGGAAGAAGAGATTTGGAGAGAACTGGAAAAAGAGAATTTGATTATTTAATGCATTGATTTGGGCGATAATGAGTTATGGAGTGGAAATATGGGGATGAAAGGAGAGGGAGGGAGTGGAGAGGATACAGCAGAGATATATAAAGTGGGTTTTAGGGAAGGACGCCAGAGTGCATGGTAAGGGAGGAAATACAAAGGGTAAAATTAAGAGGTAGAGCGGGAAAAAGAGCTTGGGCACTAAGTAAATATGACTGTTCGCTCCAAGAGGGAAGTGCCTTAAGGGTTGCAGCGCAAAAATAAAAAATGCCTCGAAATAGTAGCACATAAATAGCGCATAAATCCTGTGTATTTAATTTTCCAAATCGGTCGTTTTTAACGGGTGGGGGGCTGACTGCCTATTCAGTCACCAACAAAAAAATTTTTTTTAACCAAACGGAATGAGCTAAAAATTTGCTTTTACATATATGGGTAGCGCATAAATAGCGCATTATTCCATAATTTTTCTATTAAGATTTGGTTAAGTGGAGGGGCCAGCTAGGCAGACATTAAGAGACGTCTATTTAGCTGGCCCCCCGTCCCGCCCACTTAACAAAGACTTAATGAAAAAATTCTGGAATAATGCGCTATTTATGCGCTACCCATATCTGCAAAAAACATTATTGCGCTCATTCCGTTTAGCTAAAAAAAAATTTTTGGGGGGGGGGCTGAGTAGGCAGTCAGTCAGCCTCCGCACCGGTTAAAAACAACCTATTTGGAAAATTAAATACACAGGATTTATGCGCTATTTATGCGCTACTATTTCCAGGCATTTTTGGTTTTTGCACTGCAACACTTAAGGCACTTCTCTCTTGGAGCGGACAGTCATATTCACCCTTAAGTCACGTCTGCCTAGCTGGCCCCCCCCCACTTAACCAAATCTTAATGAAAAAATTATAGAATAATGCGCTATTTATGCGCTACCTATATCCGTAAAAAAAAATTTTTGCGTTTATTCCGTTCGAATGAGAGCATTCGTGAGTAAATGATGAGCAAACGAATGCAAAAAAAATATTCGATTTTTTAATATTGCGTGGCTAGCGTGAAATTGCCCCCCAAAATTTAAATTTCGTATAACTTTTGAACTAAGCGTGAGCAAACGAAAATTCCGACTGAGCAATCGTGAGCAAACGACGAGCAAACGAATGCTAAAGAAATATACGATTTTTTAATATTGGGGTGCTAGCGTGAAGTTGACCCCCAAAATTTAAATTTCGTATAACTTTTGAACTAAGAGTGAGAAAACGAAAATTCCGACAGAGCAATCGTGAGCAAACGAATTAAAAAAAAAATTCGATTTCACTATTCGAAAGCACTTAAGAACAAATCCAACACACCCGGTTAGCTCGGGCGGAAGGTGTCTTCCTCTGGTCGGGTTGATGTTCAAATGAAACATCACCTGGCAGAAGATGTACGAAGATTTTCTCCTCTAACGTAAAACCAAAAAAAAGGAAGCAACATGTACTATGGTAACATTAGCGTTCGATAATAAATAATTGTATTATAAAATTGTTAATGGTATTTAACTAAAGAATTCCATCCGCCATATTGTTTCAATCACTAAATTTTCAAATTTTCAAACCGCCATAACGATTCGGTCATTTTTCTTATTCAAACATTTTGAATCCAGATTCGTAATATTATATTTCATAATGTCAAAGAAAGAGAGTAAAATAGAGGAGCGCGCGCGTAGCGCGTCAACAGGGGATGTGCTAGTCTATTATAAAAAATTGTATTATTAATAATGCCCATGGTTGTTTAACGACGATAATTTTACGATAAGTAAAATTACTTTAATTTTAAAATTACTAAACTTCCAGTTATACTTTAAACTTCCGGTTATACTATATATCATATACCATTTATAAAATTCATAAAATTTTTTATCAAAGAATTATCCTCATATTACTGCGCCGTTGTTTAAAAGTGCAGAGCTCTAGCTCAATAACAAAATGTCAGACAGCCAACGCGCGGTAGTGGATTATCGTTTATCGAGATAATCGGTATAATACTTGACGTCATTAAATAATTACGGAACGGAAAAAAGCGTCACCGATACGCTCCTTTAAATGGCCACGAACGATATATAAATAAATAAGCTTTGACATTGCGGATGAAGTCTCATGTGATCTAATATATGAACAGCTCATTTATTGATTTGCATTACGTTGATAACGAGGCACGTGGAAATGCTGAAAATCGAATTTCAAAATCGAGAGATTCTGATGTTCTTTAAACGACCTCGTTTATTCTTGCATTTTTGCATTTAATTTTTTGTTTAATAACATCTCTTATTAAAACCAAAGTACACACACACACACACTCAATTGAAATAACAATAAATATATATTTATAATTGTATTTCATATACTCTATTTATTGAAAAATAATTTATTCCTTCAGTTTATTGCCAATAAGGGAATATATTCTGTTTATATGACTAATCGCACTTGCATATACTTAATCTATTTTTCATTAAAAAATAGTCAAACATCCAATATACTATCAAATTAAATATTAATTACGATAAATCGGGGGTTTAATTAAATTATTTACATTTCACTTTTTTCTATGAATTGCTTTATTCACGGAACAATTATACTTGTCTTAGTATCTTAAGATTCTCGATTAATCTTAGAAAATACATAATACACAACAAAATATCTATCTCACAAATAGTATTTATTTATTTGTGTTTGTATGTGTGTGTTTAATAATATTTATACTCTATAATATACACACGATATACGCAAAACATTCATCAATTCCTTCCGACGTCAAATAAAGCTATATAAAGCTCTCAGATTAAATCAACAGCTGTACGAACTGTGTAGTGACTAAGATAATAATTAAATATTAAATTGATCTTGAGGAGTCAAGCGATGACATCCTCACGGAGTCACGTATAAATACGTGTTTATTCACGGCAAAGACGAGCAATCTGCAATTGAGATTCGTCGGTGATGTGGTCACATGTTGAAATGCGAAAATATGAAATTTAAATAACAAATCAGCTCCATAGGTCACTGCTTGCTCCGAAATAAAGCGTAGCAGAAGAAGATAAAAAATTGTCGACACGTGTAAGATGAGCTCACATTCTCTTCAATACAATAGTGACTAAGTTTCTTTTCATTCGTGTCATATGTGACAAAATCGGGAATATTTTTTACATTATGAAGTGAAGACGATTAAATAAAATATATTTAATGAATCTTGCGTGATATTAAATTTAATACGTTATCATGTAGTTATTTACGTTAAAAATTAAGCAACTTAACAGCTTTGATGAAAAAAGTATATATATTATAAATTACTATAACATTAGAGGGCTATACAAGCCAAAACTTAAAATATAAATTATATTTTAATTCTTGGCTTGTAGCCCTCTAATGTTATAGTAATTTATAATTTATTGAGCCTTATTACTCAATTATTTATTATATATATTATCCTTATATATCATATTCTGAAAAGTGTTTGATCTACAAAAATTAAATTTACGACCTTTGAAACTTTCGCACACAAACAATTAGATGATAATGAAAAAAGTATACGTCTTTATTTATTAATTATACATATATATTAATATAATATTTAACGTTAACTTTAACAAGAGTCGCGTGACTATTACCTAGTAAAGATTAAATCTTTCCTTTGCGTGACGGTGCAACTTGTCAGAACTTCACTCTACCGTCTAGAGAAGCATGCGCTGTAATTTTACGTCTACATCGTAAGTATTTTTGCGGGTGTAAAAGTCGACAGTCAAAATATCGATAATATGCGGTAGTCCATTTTTCATCTTTTATAGATGATGGAATAATGGAAGGCGCAATGTTATGTACTTCGCGACACGCGAGGCGCCGCTTGCTGCCGTCTGATGCACCCAGAGAGTGAA